AAAATCTTCCCTGGAGCAGGAAAAATTCCCCATCAATCAAATAATAACAAGATTTATTTCTTCAGTATTGGTGGAAGGTGAATTGTCAGCTGTATCTCTACCTGTAAGTTAAAATAAAGTCATTAATATTGTGTTAGTTAAATTTGCAAATTCTGAAACATTTATATTTATGAGGGTTAATATTTATAAGTTTATAAGAGTTAAATTTGCAAATTCTGAAACATTTATATTTATGAGGGTTAATATTTATAAGTTTATAAGTTTTCAACATCTAAATATTGAGGGTAATTTTGTCTGTTAAAAAATAAAAATAAAAAATTCCAAAGGAAACTCAGATTTGTTTGGTTTGATATGTAACACACACTAATTTTTTTTTTTTTTCTAATGTACTGTAGTGTATATTGTTATGGTGATTCCAAAACTTTGATCCCTTTTTTTGGAGAAATTCATAGAACAAAATTTATAAGCCCTTTAAAATTTTAATGATCTATATAAGAATGTTAACCTAACCTACCTAATTGGAAACTGACTTAACTATCATAAAATATAGTACTGTATACTGTCTTTCATATTTTAAAGGTTGGATTAAGGAGAAATTCACTTAGGTTAATTTCTGGTTACAGTTAATTAGTCAAGTCTGACATATTTCTGTTGTCATCATTAGAATGTACGTACGTATATCACATTTATTGAAGATTCATAATTTCATTATCTTTGAATATCCAAGAATTGTAATATAAAAACAATTAACGGCAAAGGGAGTCATATCTGTGATTACTATCTACAATTATTACATCTAGCTATAATTGAGTGGAGCATCAAGGTGAGTTAGGTAAGATACAAGGAGTTTAAAGATGAAAATGTATTACAGTCTCTCCTCGACTTACGACGGTGTTCCGTCCCGACGACCAGGTCGTAATACCTGAAATATTGTTATTAAATATTATCATCAATGACTTCTTTTGGTATTAAACAATACAATTTGGTGCTAATTTTTTCCTCTTTCATAAAGTAGCTTTAGTGTATAGGGTGAAACATCTATCATGAAGTGATTGTCATTAGAACTTTACGGAGTCTGAATTTGTAAAAAAACACAACTTATGTTTTTAATCTACTCATAATCAATTTGGTAAAATGAATGTTTAGGTCATCCACCTACTTGGCATTTGAAAAAACATAATTACAATGTCACCAAACCTAACCTAACCCAACTTAACTAATCTAACATAACCTAACTTAACTGGTAAAAATCGGTCAACTTAAAATCATTAAATTCGCTGGATGGCCAAAAGATAATATCATCAACTCCATTTACTTTAGAAGGACTTATTCATTTTTGTTGAAATCATGGACATACAAAGCCAATATATCTACATTTGATTCTACCACTGTGAATGGCAAAGTTAATTAACATCACCACTCCAACTGTTGGCCCAAACAAGTCGTAAAGTAGTTCTTTCTTGTAATACATTGAGTCACCAAGGGAATAAAAAAATAAAACATGAATTTAGGTCACTGAATTTATCTTATTAGTAGCAAATTGTGGTTAAACTGATACACAAATGAAACATGCCTGGGAAGTACCTAGCACTAGTTACCTGGCTTATTTGGACTTATTAAAATATGAAATCTAGGCTAATAAGTAATTATACTAAGGAAATAATTATTTTGGTAGTCTGGACGGTTATTAATTGCCCTCATTACGAAAATTGGGTCGATATTAATACTGATAAAGGACGTCCATCGACCATCACGGATGGACCAGTTTGGATTCACCTGGCATTGGTTACCTGGCATATTTGGACTTATTAAAGTGTGAAATTTATGCTACAAAGTATTTATACTAAGGAAATAATTATTTTGGTAGTGCTGGACTGTTATTAATTGCCCTCATTACGAAAATTGGGTCGATATTAATACTGATAAAGGACGTCATTCACCATCCCAGAGGAAGCTGTTCTCACCACTCTTCAAATAGACCATTTACGACTTTTTTTTAGTTTAATTTGATTTCAATGCATTTCTACACATAAATTAGTTGTATTAGTTATCTTAAAGGCTTACCTTTTATGATGGTTAGGCGAATTTGGAGGATATAAACGGCGATGAGACAAGTAGAGGCTGGCAGCATTTTTCGTACACAAACATGGACCGCTTTTAAAAAGAACAATACAATTCTGCATGTGCTGTTCTATATGGAGTATATCGTATAAAAAATATTATTCCTTTGCAGATTTATACATTTATATCCATCCAAATCAATTTTTTTTCTTTTGGTTTTAAAAATAGTTTCCTCGTAGTGATCATCGGACGGGGGTACATGTACCACGAAATTTCCCCATGTTCCAATAACGAATAGTACATATTTTTCTTTTTTTTAGCCAAAAACGCTTCTTGCATAACAACCATGGGAGTACTACAGCATGGTATACACCATGGCTGATCTTGCATATGGGCCTTACACATACACACGGACACCGAATCACTCGTCATATGTCGTTAACTTTTTTCAAATAAAGTTTGATATCATGATGTGAATTTATGGTAAACAATTTAACATTAATACACTTCACGAATTCGAGTTGTGAATATATTGCATTGAAAAAAGGAAGCCAGTGTATTGTATATTTACTGTAGTGGGAATTAAGGGCATGGGGGCGAATGAGGAGAGGTTGATAAAGTTGAGGACTTTCATAACTTCGTCAGTCTGTATTAGGTTGTAGTGGATTTCTCCCCTACAAATGCTGTTTGTCGCTGCGTAGCCGACCCCACGAATTCCACAGTGTGTGCCTCGTGGACTAGGTCAACCAGCGCCGCCATACATCACGGAGCGGGGGTCAACTACTAAGCCACGCCTACCCCCCGCTATTTAAGACCTGACCTCGTGGTGACCTGTCTCTTTCTACCTACACCAACCAGCCAGCAACACCTCCTCCTCCTGCCTGGTGGTCCTCGCTCCCGCCGGCGAGCATGGCGACCCACAAGCTGGTCCTCCTCTGAGCATCCTCACCAACCAGCTCTTTCTACATCACGCTTGTAACCATGCTCCCTTCCCAGCACCAAGCTGCATTGTACATCCAATACAACATGTATACATGAGAGCACATTGTGAGTTTCCTTTCTCCATCCCATCCTGACGCGAACCAAACAAACCATACCCCACAAGGTTACCACATGCTCGGTACTGATTACTTACCACTTTGGCAAGTCCCAGTTGGACGTTTAACCGTAATGCCGATGTTTTGCTGGTAATTATAGCCTAGTATTTGTTCTCTAATGGTGTTGCGAAAGAAAAATATTACTCAACACTTTGTCATAGCAAATACAAGGAGATTAAAACGTGAAAGCTAAAAATCCAGTTAGAATTAAAATGAAGATAAGAGATAACGCTGGGAACAAATACGCTAATGATCAGCAAGATTTAAAAGGTGTTTCTGCTGTGGTCGCCTGAACCATTGTTGTTGTGGTAGCCTTAGGTTGAATAAATAGAAACGGTGGTCCCCAGACAGCTTCATTAAGGGGGAAAGTGGTGTTTGGTGTTTGACCAGTGTCTCGCCCAAACTTAGGCCAATCTTAACCCAAACTCATTATCCCTCTCCTATTGGCCTCGTAGAATAGGGTCCCACACACCCCATTAAGCTTTCGCTGATGGAATTGGTCATCCACAAATTTCAACAGTAGTTTTGCATCGACTTGCAATTAAAGTTAAAACTTTAGTGGGCATCTGCTAAAACCAGTAGTGTTTTGGTAATACAGTATGAAAATCGTTGGAAAAACTGAGGAGATAAAACGTTCATGTTACTCAATAACTCTTTAAAATTTATCTTAATATTTCAACTGCGATACAATCGGCTCGTCCCAAGAATTCTTCATGTCGCTCAACAAGATTGGACAATTAAAATAACATTCGCTTGAGATTAATAAACAGGATTCATATGTTAAGATTCAGGCAGGTGGGCTTAAAATCATGCTTGGTTATATTATTTTGATATAAAACCACTACTTAACCACATTAACTTAACGTGAGGTTTGGGAATACTGTACTGTACATTTAATATTCAGCTATTTTCAGACACCTCGTAGACTGTGATTAATGGTGTACTGTAAGCTAACTTCTGTAGTGAGGCTCTTTGATATTGTACATATTAATGCTTTAACCTGTCATTCACATATGTATTTAGATAAGATTAGAAAGTTACACGCTAGAGATGGATGTATGATTCTGCCTTTCTCCCCACTTCCACCCAACTATTGTCAGCCTACTGTACCACTTAACTCTCTCGCGTGCGCTATGGTCTTGAGACTTGGCCACAGGTCTGGGAGAGGACACTTGCCACAATATAGGCACAATAAAGACAATTGTGTCACTTGAGGTTAACGGACGACGCCAGGGTTAGAGCAGGCTCATTCCTGACCCTGCTGCGTTAGGGTTTGGAGCTGGACACGTGAGAGCTTTGATTAAGTCGTGCGGGGATACAATGCCTAGTAGTCCTTGATAAAAAACAACATTATTATTGTTATTATTATTATCATCGTCATCATCATCATCATCATCTGACGAAGTTGTGTTGCATAGAATGAGTTCTGTCAATTCATCCATTCATTCATCTAACACTCCGTCCGTCCGTCTGTGTGTTTCATTTTCAGAACCTTAACTAATAAATCTTTTCATATGTTTTTATGAAAGTTTGTACTGAAATTATTCATCTCGGGTGTGGCTGTACCCCTGCACCCTGCTAGTGACGCTCCTGTTTGGACTTGGGGAAAAGAGAAAAAGCATGCATTATTAACTTGTTAGACGTGATTTTGCTTCAATAATCATTTATTATACCGTATTATCATAGTACATGTAGAATGAACTACTTTAAATGACAGATGATACAGAGAAATGCTTTTTATCCACGGCAGATGTGTACCGTATATACAATATATGTATGCTTTTACTGTATGAATTTTAACAAAATAAATGTATTTAACGTGATGACCTGTGTTTTCTCCAGCGACGTACTGGTGCAGACCCTGAAGCCGCAGCAGCTAATGTTCGAGGAAAAGTAATCAAGTTCGGATGGCTGGAAGGCGTATATGTAAGTTGTGTAAAAATTTTTAACCACATAAATTGAAGTTTAAAACATCCCTCATTATAAATCAAATTTGTTATATGCTGAACTTGTTACATATAGAAAATAAACTTTATGATTTATAACTTGTTTTATTGTACTGTACTTGACAATTTAATGACTGTATTAAACGTGAACAGATGCGATGTCTCCTCAACATCTGGGGTGTGATGCTCTTCTTGAGAGTGTCCTGGATGGTTGGGCAAGCTGGCGTTGGTAAGTTATTTTCAGCAAGTTAAATGTTTTAGATAGTACAGTACATTAGGTAGAGTACTTACTTTTAATTTGAGTTTCTATCCTAAAATATGGAATCACAAACAACATGAAATTATTTTATCTGTAGTAAAAAAAAAAATTAAAGAAGATAAACACTGACGAGAAGCTAAAATTCTTAACTAAATATTGGTCTGGCACTCAAACACTGAAACTATTGTCTGGTATGTTTGCTTTCACATCCTTTCATCATTACATACTGAAGGTGTTTTATCAAGGGTAAATTTTATATTAAGAGTTCCCTCATCTTTATTCATTATATGATTTTGAAGAATGACATTGTCCATTTCTCTTATCCTAGCTTCTTAAAGAAATACATTTTAAATTTCTTCATTTTCTTTTGCAGTATCTGCCATTGCCATTGTTATTATGGCAAACTTGGTCACCATAATCACCACCCTCTCAATGTCTGCAGTTGCCACTAATGGTAGAATACAAGCTGGTATGTAAACACATTTTTTTTTTTTTTTGCAAAACTGTTCTAATTCAAAAAACAAATTCATATGCTTTATGTGGTTTAAAGTTCCCATATGGATTTCAGATTTTTTTAAAGCCTTTGTATGCAATAAGGTGTTACCAGTACTTTCTGGTGGCTGTTGACTTCATGTTACATGTTTTTTAGCCTTTTTTTTTTTGTGGCTGCTGTACAAGTCCTGTGACCCGATGCAACCTAATCTACAGTAATTCTCAGTTTTATTAGTTTCATGATTTGATTTTCTCTGGTTGAGTTGTGTCAACGTCGTTTAAAACTTTATATTGTAGTTCCTTTAAGTATAATTGGACTGTATAGTATATTCAAAGTTTAGAGTACCAGTTCAAAATAAAAATCTGCATTCACAAATTTCTTCCTCTTGCCAGGTGGTGTGTATTACATGATATCCCGATCACTTGGACCTGAATTTGGTGGGTCTATTGGGCTGATGTTCACGGTTGCAAACGCAATCGCTGCTGCAACTTACATCATTGGTTTTTGTAATTCGTTGTTGGTAAGTGTATTACAAAAGGCTATGTTTGAGTATTGTCAAGAATACAAAACTTAATTAGTGTATTGTACCTGTATACCCCATATATTGAGCAGACTCTTATTTTTTAATGTGCAAAGTTTGCCTTACTATAAATTCTATACAGTATATATTTTTTTTATCTATAGTACACTCTTTAGTATGTGTACAGGTATGTTTATAAATTGAAAACCCTTTAAAATTTTCTTCTTTTCATAATTTTACCAAAATATCGGTCTTTCTTTATTTACGTCTACATGGGTTAGGAAATCAATATTACTTATTTATTTTTTATTATAGGATTTGATGAAATATTACTTCAATAATGCACAAATTTTTGACGGTGGAATCAACGATACTCGTCTCATTGGCACCATCACATTGATTGCTGTACTTGGTCTGGCTATTGTTGGAATGGATTGGGTCACCAGGGTAAGTCTTTGTGCAAACTGAAACTTTTACCTTTAAGTAATGAAACTTGTGTGATTTTAGTTTCCTCAGGACATACAATAAACCCAAATATAAGTACAAGTACTGTACTGTACTGTATAGTATCTCAAATTCATGCAACTTATTTGATTTGTTCTTCAAGTTTAGTCACTTTTTCTGTTTGATTAATTCATTTAAAGATTGGTTCTTATTCCTTGTGCAATAATTTTAAGGTTAATCAGATGTGTACATTGTTCATATTAAATTCATGACATTACTGATGAATAAAAAAACTGGGATGTGTGGATGTGCTCAGATGTATTAAGATAGGTAAGGAAAGAATGACTTAAGTAATACGCAAAAAGAACTTGTATGTCCTGACCCCTTTAATGAGGGTCAGTGACTCAGGAGCTCACCTGTTAATGTTGGGTGCAAACAGAACCTCATTTACTATTATGGTCATGATGGAAAATTAATGACACTATGTCCAAGGTTTGGTGGTGTGATAGAGGATACCTCTCAGGTCTTTACCCCTGGAGGAGGTGGCGTCAAACATGGTATGGAAAATGTTGGCGAGTAGTCGCTCCAGGTCATAATCCTGCAGCTGCTTCTCGGTCTGAAACTGTAGATGATGAGGCAGTTTCCAGGGTAAATACTACCGACTAAAAGTAAAGAACAATAGTATGTGTAAGAAAATGGATTTTATACTGACCATGACTTGTTGTTCACACCAGAAGAAGCAGTAAACAGTGTTACTGAGACTTTGCTCTTAGCAATCAAGCTCTCGGCAGTGCTGGGGTTTGTCGGGAACTGTCTTGCTGTCTAGTTAGGAGAGATTTTAAAAGGGTTTTCTCACTTTCCTAATTTATAATGCAATACAGTAGTCTTCTGAGAAATATCATGTAATGCATCAGACCATGGAAAAGGTACTGTACATTACAAGGAAACACTTAAGACAACCCTGAAAAGGCGTCAAATTAACTCTGGCACCCGACAGGCGATCACTCCACACTACCCTGTATAACATTTAGAGGAGTACTAACTTAGATGAAGTTAAAACCTTTTATTGCTCATTCGCATGGTGAGGCAGACGAGTGCCAATACAGTACTGAAAAGATGCTTCGGCATGTACAGCATCTGCATATGACTTAGCTGGTTTTGTATCAGCATTTTTTAGCCACCTTAGAGCTCGCCAATGAAGGTGACATCATTAAAATTTCATACATTTTGTCATAGCTGGATGATTGTAATATCTTACTAAATTCTGAGTGACCTTAAAGTACTGTAGTTGTAGCATTGTGTTTGTATGTCTCAAAATTATAATTTACCCTAGGAATATATGTACTGTACAGTACATAAACTGTTGTGATGTTATGTTTTTAGAAAATATATACAGTAGATATACAGCACTGATATATAACTTTCTAGCATGTAATACAAATGAGTTTTGTTGTTACAGGTACAGATGGGTCTACTTTTCTTACTGATCGGAGCACAGGTCGACTTTGTTGTTGGGGTGTTTATGGGCCCTCTCACTGATGAAGCAGCGTCTCAGGGATTTGTTGGCCTCAATAGTAAGTTCTGTATTTATTTTAAAATGTTTTCTTTTTAAAAACATTAAAACAAGTACTTCACTCTTGCATACACTTGCACACTGGAATGACAATTAAAGAGAACAGGGTGAGGGACCTTAGAAAGCTGTAGACATCTTTCCCAATAAAGAAAACAAGTACTGTAGATGCAGTGGCTTGTAGGTATGTATGGTTGGCATACTGTACACATGAAGATACACACAAAGTCATCGATGTACTTTCAGAATGTCTGTATGTAATGCTATGTTCATATATTTGTCCATGCATACAACCAAATATATATGCATGCACACACACATTTGCATACACACACTTTCATTCACTTGTATATATGACTGCCATTTTTCTCTTGCATGATACAAACATTAATACTTGCATAGTTTTATTTAGCATAACATAAATTCTATGGGTCATCAGCAAATGATTCGTGATGTCCTTACTTTTAATCACTTTCTGGCACAGCTTGCTTTGTGCCAGAGGATACAGTCAGGTAGGACATTATCATCATATTGTCTTCTATAAGCAGCATTTCTCACCCATGTGAAGTATGGTTAGATTGGCAGTACTATATTTAATGATTGACTCAAAGTCTTGTGATGATTCAAGTCAAAAGTTAAAATACTTTCTTATGTTTTGATTTGTTCTAAGCCATGAAAGAAAGTTCATTAATAAAGCTTCAAAGTTCCCAACTGTGCAAAAATTTAACACTTGCACCTCCTACTCTTATTCAGACTCAATGGCTGTTGTCTTCTGAATTTCCAACTGGATGAATGACCAGAGTGCACAGAGATACTTTTTACTCATTGTATTTAGTGTTGGTGCTTGCTAGATGGTCACTTTTCACCTGCAGTGTTTAAACATTGAAGTTAAAAGTGTTCACTTGATAGTTATCTATTTCTTATTAACTTACTGTATGTTTCTTTGTGATTTCTCTTTTTAATTTGTAATGTAATAACTTAAAATTTCAGGTGAACTTTTAACTCGTAATACCGGACCTGATTATCGGCCGTTTGAAGGTAAAGAGCAAGGCTTCTTTACTATATTTGGTGTGTTCTTCCCTGCTGTCACAGGCATCGTGGCTGGAGCAAACCTCTCAGGTGATCTAAAGGTGAGTAAACATTTGTCTTATAATAGGGTTAAATAATTTGTCAGCATAGTTGTAGCACTCGGTGTCAGATGTCATAATAGATTCAATTTTTCTTTGTAAGAGCGTTTAGATATGATGACTATATATTATATATACAGTAGCAGGTGCACATGCCAGTAGTGGAACAACCCTCCAATGGACTAGCATCTTGTCATGGGGAGGGGGGTGAGGTGACCCAATTATTGCTAAATGTTGAGAGTGGATCAACTTTTACCCAGTTAACCATTCTGAACTGAAATTAGGAAAAGCTTGCATTTATTTACACCTTGCTTATGGGGTCCCCTCTGCTGAATAAAATTGTCTGATGTTAGTCAAATAAAATATTAAATTGGTGTTCCCATAGTGAAGGGGATAGTGGAGATAGTTTAGTAAACCCTTATGTATGGTTGTCCCCTATGTGCTGAATAAAAGCCAAATCAAATAAAGTAACCCTTCATGGGCATGTTTATTTATATGTGCTGTCCCCCCCAGGATGGGGTATACTGTATTGTGCTACATAGAAAATGGGTCAAATTACGTAAGATAATGTTTTTCAAATGCATGTAGAACGTGCCCCAGGATCTGCCCGACTTGTTGCAGTATCTGCACTGTGCTAGGTTTCATTTTTATTGTTTTCCCCTTTAATATACAAGATCCAATACTGTACTCAAGTGCTATACCTCCATAATTTTATTTTTGTTGGTCTTAAGTCAGTGTTTCACCTGCTTAATAACGTTTCTTTCTACAGGATCCAGCAAGTGCTATTCCTAAAGGTACACTCGGTGCTATATTTACCACCTTGGTGACATACATCATCTATCCAATATTAATTGGAGCATCAATGATGCCTGATGCTAGTGGTATGTATAGTTGTCTCATACTTATAACTTGGTGATCTTTAGGAGGTTAGCCTGAAGCATTGTTTTTGTTTTTAATAACATTACAAGCTAAATATATACTGTACCAGTAGCTAATTTTAATTTAACAACATTACAAACAGTTAAATATCTTTTATAAAAATATTTATTTATTAATTAATTTTCTACATGAGGATACAAGTGCAGGTAATAAGAAAACTTTTGTTTTGACTATTTTTGTCTTTTAAAAGTAAAATTTTTGGATGTCCAGAATTAAAAGCAAGTGCACACAGATTTTTCTCTTAATTCATATAATTAATTAATTGAGTCATCTGCTGTGATAAATGTGTTCTATGGTACTCTTCCTCAACAAGGCTCTAATTCTGGTTTACCCCCATTTTCTTCACTCATGTCGGCATCACCTTAAAAAACACGACCTGTCTAAGTGTCAGTTGGTGCCATGCTTTCCACTTGATCACGTATATTGCTGCTCTCTGGATGCCCCTTTCTCTTTACTTCTGTTGCATGATAAGCAGTTCAGGTAGTTGGTCTGTTCTTATGATCTTCATTGTCCAGTGTGAGTACAGGAGGGAGCCAGAGTTCTCGGAGAAAACCTGCAATATTTGATAGGACTACACCCTTCTTTGATCTGACTTAGGCTGGGGATTAAATCCAGTAAATAGTGGCGAGGGGCGGCCGTGCTGCCACAATAATTATTTTAATTATCCTGGATTGATATTCATGTGTACAGAAGCCTTGGCTGTTCCTACCCTTTTCTACCCTGCCTTAGCATTGAAATCACCCATTGTATTTAAATATTTATTGAACTTAACAGCTTATATTTTTCTGTATTTAAAGTTTTTTATTTATTCCAAGACCTCATTTTTATTATTGTTGTTATACAGACCTTGATTATTGCCAGGTCCATGATATATATATATATATATATATATATATATATATATATATATATATATATATATATATATATATATATATATATATATATATATATATATATATATATATATATATATATATATATATATATTAATTTTTTTTTAGGGGACGTTGACTTATATCGGGCGAACATGAACATAACCGCCAACTTTTGGGAAAACCCTGTGTTTACCAATGAGTCATGCAGTAAGATTGGCAAAACTGACAATGGAGTAGAGCTCTGTGAGTTCGGCACTCAAAATAGTTTCCAAGTGAGTAAAGTTTTCTATTTAATTCATGAGATTTTCTTGTAAGATATTTGCTAATATAAATACTATTCTATACACTGTTTAGTAAAAGTAGTAAAGTCTAAAAGAAAAAGACAATTTAAGAATATAAGACGACTAAACACAAATACTATATATATAATGTGTGGATCGCACTGGGCAGTTAATGATAAAGATACACATGATGATTGTTAACACTTAGTATAGCATATTTCTGAAATTTGACTTTCACTTTTAATTTCTTGGTATTATTATTATTTTTATTATTACACTGCAGCCTCTCAGAATAAATTCATCTGTTGAGAGGATTAGCCATTGGGAGAAGTATCACATGTAATATGTTCATCAGGTTATGGAACTGATGTCTGCCTGGGGACCTCTCATCTATGCTGGATGTTTTGCTGCAACCCTCTCCTCAGCCATTGCTTCCCTGGTTGGTGCTCCAAGAGTCCTGCAAGCCTTGGCCAAAGACAAGCTCTATCCTGGTATTTATGGATTTTCAAAGGGATCTGGTGCCAATAATGACCCAGTTCGAGGTTACATTCTTGTTTTTGTCATCTCCCTGGCCTGCATCATGATAGGTAATGTGTACTATTGGTTTATGTTATTTTCCCTAACTTTCATGATTAAACATTTCATCTGTAAATACAGTAGAGCATTGCTGAGTATTAATTACTGTGTATTAATGTTAAAAATGGCTTAATTCTTGTGCAAAGAAAATTATACAAAAGAAAATATAATTTTGGCATACTCTTTTGTTTCATATTGAATTTTACATTTTTATGTGTCTGAAGAAAAGACTTATAGTCTCCACAGGATTCCTCTGCTGTATAATTCAAAGGCCTATAGGTTATAAATTTGTGTTTCAACAGGTGACTTGAATGTTGTGTCAACTTTACTGAGTAACTTCTTCTTGGCATCATACAGTCTCATCAACTTCTCCTGCTTCCATGCATCCCTTATCAAATCTCCTGGTTGGAGACCAGGATTTAAGGTTGGTTGGTTGTTTTCTACTTTGATAATTTAATATACGTATGTAGATGGGAC